TAGCATTTATATGGCTTCATTAAATTTCCTGGCTTTCAGTTACTGAGGTTCTGGAGTGGGGATTTTCATTGGTAATTTACCCTTTGCTCTATTTGATCCATGTTTTTTTTTCCTCTCATGATGAACCTCTGACATGTTTTCATAGAGTTATTCAATTCTATTTATAAGCATTTATTAAGCACCTACTATGTACACAACTGTAACTTTTATTCTTTCATAATCTTTCATTCTTTTAAGGTATGGTTGTAGTTTTCATTTGAACTTTATCCAATTTTTTTTCTGCTATATACATTATACTGTATACATACATTTTATTCCAAATCATTCTTCTTCACCTATGTCACAAAAGCATCATTCCAAATCATTCCTTCTCACCTATGTCACAAAGCATCAATGATAATTGCTCTAAAAAAAAAAAGCTTTCAGTTTCCTTAGTCTTCCATTTCAGCTAAACTCTTTGCAGCCTTTTCTCTCATTTTCTTGGGAACATTGCAGTGGTGACAAGCAACCACAGTGTGAGCCTCTGCAGTAGTATTCTCTCCCCTCTGGCAGTCATTGCTCTGGGAATAAGCTGTTTACCCAAGTGAAGTGAATTAACTCTTAGGACTTTAACTTTGTGGATATAATCAACGTGTGTTACTTCAGTGATGACTTGGTTCTCAGCCTTAGCTTACATAACACAAACCTTCTTTCACATCTAATTTATCCTGTGTCACTGGATTTTAAGTAATTAACTGTTTCTTAGCCTTTTAATTTTTTTTAAATGAAGTTGTGTTTTTAAAAATCCATCTTTAAGCACTTCCCTTTTTAGTTTTTTTTTCAGACCTACACATTTCATACGTTTTGTATGGACCTGATCCTTTTAATTCTTCATATATCTTTTCCCTCTGTCCATTTAAAATGTATCTCTTGGAACCAAAACAGCCCCAGAAGAGTACTTCTCATAGTATGCTTTTCAAAAAGGAAAAAAAACACACAACTTTTTAAATATTGTGGGCCTTCTCCCATCCTGGCCAGAGGGAGCAGAGAGACAGAAAGAGAGAGAGAGAGAGAGACAGAGACAGACACACACACACACACACATACACACACACACACACACACACACACACACACACACACACACACAGAGAGACAGAGACAGAGACTGAGACAGATACATAATGTTCTCAAGGAATTGTGCTATTTGCCGAGACAGTGGGAGGAGATTAATGATAAAGATTTATCTATCTATCTTCCAAAAGTTGCTGAAACTACCTGGGTAGCTAGTGTAACAAAGACAATAATATAGTGAGATAGAAACAGCAGCATGGTACAGTAAATAGAAAGCTGGTTTTGGAGACGAAAGGTTTGGAGTCAGGATGATTGTCTCTGACAGCCTGGCTGGGTGACCCTGGACAAATCACTTAACCTGTCAGTGCCCTAGTCACCCTCTAAGACTCTGAGCTTCGGGACAGGTGCTGATCTGTCTTAGTAGAGGCAATTTATTAGTTGGGAGTCTGTTCTACAGGTTCTGTCTGTAAATACAGTAAGAATGGGTAGAGCATGTTTGATCATTCAAATGCTTTCTCTAGTAAGTGAGCACTAGAATGGAAAGTGCAAAAGCCCAAAAATGGATACCTTGAGGTGCACTGAAACTATGAAATATACAAAGAGGCATAGATTTAGAGCTGGAAGAGACTCAGGTCTCTGAGCACAATCTCCTCATTTTATACCTACATGATGAAAGTGAAGCCCAGAAATCAAAATGACTTGGCCATGGTTAATCAGGTAGAAGAGGCAAAATTGGAAAACCACCCCAAGTTCTCTGGCTCCAAGGCCACCATTTTTTTTGGCTAGGCAATGGGGTTAAGTGACTTGCCCAGGGTTACGCAGCTAGTGTTGTGTCTGAGGTCGGATTTGAACTCAGGTCCTCCTGAATCCAGGGCTGGTGCTCTGTCCACTGCGCCACCTAGCTGCCCCTCAAGGCCACCATTCTTCACATAATATCATGTCGCCTTGACATGAGCTTTGCCAAGGAAGAGAAAGTAGTAAGTGCCATGAGTAGTTCCCACCCTGAATTCCTCATCCTTTTTTATATACACCCAATCAATTATACATACAGCCTAATTTTCTAATCTATGGACTATTGGAATCCTTTGCTTATCCCTTTTGCTGCCGGTTTTTTTGGTCCCTTGACTGTTTTTGGTTTTTGTTTTTTTGGGAGGTTGACATTTTGGCTAAATGGACAACTGTCAGTGGGTTTCATTCCCCCCTACTGCCCACACCTCTCACCACCTCCACTCTCAGCATTAACTCAGAGAAGTGATAGTTGGCAGCACATTCTGAAAAGCAGCCTAAGATGTTCTAAGACGGGAAGAAGGATGACTGGGAAAATTACCTGTCATCAGATCTCAAAAGAATCCTGGCAGGAGCTGATCCTTTTTAATTCTTGCTGATAGCTATTAAAATGGTAGACCTTTTGCAACTACAGTCTTTTATTACCTTGATAGGACAAGTGATTGAATGGAACATGTGATAAGTATCTTTCTTCTGTGACAAAGCACCCTGGAAAGTACTGAGTTAGCAATTTGGGAAGTGATTGCAGATTAAGTCACTAACTTCCCATCGCTCATGTTATTGGGCACTTATTTTAAAAAAATAGAGACAATTTTTGCCTCCTCCTTTAGGGGATAGCAAGGACACATCAGGGTGATTCTTCTGCATCCATAACAATTTTTCCTGTGCAAGTATGTTCCTTCTATCTGAGTAAAACATTATGGTCCTTTTACCTTCTATGAAGTTAGAGAAAACATTCTATTCCTCCCTATTTGATTCAATAGCCCATTTTTCACAGTAGCTGTTCCAAATTGAGTTTTTCCTCATCTCCCACCAAACGCCCTCTCTCATTCTCTCAACCAATCTTATCTCATAGTTCACTAAAAACTGACATTTACAAAAAACTCCCTATTTCCCTCTGCCTCCTCCTCATTTCGTATCACTCAATTTCCTCTACTACGTCCTCCTTGCTTCTAGTCTCTGATGAAGAGGTGGCTTTTCTCCTTGCCCTGACAAACCCCTCTACATTCACGAATGATCCTATGCCAGAAAATTGCCCAAACTATCCTTCCCGCATTCTCTCTTATCTTCAGTCTCTATCTCCTGGATAATTCCTTGCTGCCTACGAACACACCCATGTCTCCTTCATCTTTAAAAAATACCCTCACTTCTTCTAACCATCCCTCTTAGCTATTTGTCCTTTATCTCTTCTCCTTTTCAAGGCTAAATGTCTTGGAAAAGTCTTCTACAATCTACAATCTATGCCTCCACTTTATTTCCTCTCACTCTCTTATAAAATTTCTATAGTCTGTTTTCTGATTTTACCATTCAATTAAAACTGCCTCTCCAAAGTTACCGATGATCTCTTAACTGCCAGATCTAATGGCCTTTTCTCAGTCTTCATCCTCCTTGACTTCTATGCAACCTTTGACACTGTTGATGACCCTTTTTTCTCTTTGATACTCTCTTTGCTTTCTCCTGGCTCTCCTGTCTGACTGCTACTTCTCAATCTCCTTTGCTAGATCTTCATCTAGATTGTGCCTAATACCTGTGAGTGTTTCCCAAGCCTCTGTCCAATGCCCTATTCTCTTTCTGTGCTATTTTGCTTAATCTCATTAGTTTCCAAGAATTCAATGATCTTCTCTAGGCAGGTGATTCTCAAATCTGTTTATCCAGCTCTGACTTCTAGTCTCACATATCTAACTGCCTGCTGGACATCAACATCTTAAACTCAACGTGTCCACAACAAAATTCAGTATTTTCCCCCAAAACCTTTCCTTCTACCTAACTTTGCTATCACTGTTGAGAGCACTACAATCCTATCCACCTAAGTCTACAACCCCAGTGTCATCCTGGACTCTTCTCACTCACCCAACATATATAACCCACTGGAAAATCTTGTCATTTCTACTCTTTTGATACCTCATGTATATCCCCTTCTCTCCAATCACACAACCCCAATCCCAATTCAGACCTCTATTAACCCTCACCTGGACTACTGCAAGAATTACCTTTTAATTGGTCTCCCTGCCTCAACTCTATTCATTTCAATCCATCCTCTTCTACTCAGCTGTCAAGGTTCTAAAGTCTCAATTTGATCATATTTTCTACCTGCTCAAAGAGCTTCAATGATTTCCTCCTCCCTCTATCATCAAACATGAAACTCCTCTGTTTAGCATTTAAAATTCTTTATAACCCAGCCCCTTCCTACATTTCCAGCTTTCTCATATCTTTCTATTCTCCAGACACCGTACAATTCAACTACATTGACTTACTTGCAATTCTGGAAAAAGAAGCCTATTTCCCACCTTCATTCCTTGGACTAGCTGTCCCTCATGCCCAGAATGTTCTCCTTCCCCTCCTTACCTCTTAGCTTCTCTGGCTTCTTTTGAGACTCAATTCACATCTTAGCTTCTGTAGGAAGCCTTAGCTCTTTCAGCTGCTAAAACCTTCCTCTTTCAGATTACCTTCACATACTCTGTCTATATATCGTATGTACCTCCATATTTACATGTTTTCTCTCCCACTACACACCTTGAGAGAAGGGACTAGAGTTTTTCGTTTACTTTTATTTTGGTTTTGTTTTAGGTTTTTCTTTTTCTCTTTTTTTTTTTTGCTTTTCTTTGGCATGTAGTAAGTGCTTAAGAAATGCTTGTTAACTAAATGATTTTATGAAGTTGGTAGCACCTTCCTCCTTAGTTTGGGTTAAAAATCAAGACTCCTAGGTGACTGCAGGGGCAGAATGTTGCATGTATAGTCAGACATGATTACTGTACACTGTTTTGTTTTTTTTTTTTTTTGCTTTACTGTTTTTCTATATTATAAGAGAATGTTCAGTTCTAGGGGCATGGAGGAAGAAGTAGGATGGTTATATCCAGAATTTACAGATATTAGCTAGATGGACAGTTTAGAAGGACTTAAAAACAACAATACCTACTTTTCAAAATGGTGACTACTCCTTCAACAAGCCAGAGAAAGACCACTGAAATCACAGAGTTTGAAGAGACCTCAGAGATAATATGATTTCCAGTCTCCTTACCCTCCTGGTGACCCTCCTCCTTTGAGACACAGTAGAAAGGATGTCAATGGTATCGTCTTCTTTGTGTGGAACAGGAAACAGACCCAAAGGCATAAAAGAATTTGTCATAGATGAGTAACAATTTTGACAGCTGGAAGCCATCTGCTTTCAGTCCCCTCCAGAATGCAACATTTACTTTAGTTATCTAGGAACTCTGGCTAGCTACTATTAACCAACAGACAATTTGATGTAGTGGATAGAATGCAGAGCTTGGCATTAGGAAAACCTGAGTCCAAATTCTACCTGTGATACTTAATAGCTTGTACATGGGCAAGTTATTTCAGTAAATTTATAAATAGTTATTAATAGCAATTAATTAACATTTATTATCGAAGTAATTTGATTTCTCTGACCTTCAGGCAACTTCCTTGGACTTATCTACTAAGTCATGGAAGGCTTGTCATGGTGCATTGGTGGAGGGGTTCTTATACTGGTAGTTCTCCAGACTGATAAAATCATAGATTTCACTTACTTAGTTAAAACTGGCATTTGAGTAAACCAAATGGACTAATTTGGCCAAGCCAGTGTCTTCCTATAGGAAATTACCTTCACTCTACTTCTGCTTGGAGGATTTAGTGCAGGGGTAAGCAAAGTCCTTTATTTAAAAATATATATATATATATATATATATATATATATATATATATATATATATATATAAAATACAAGCTAGAGGACCATACAAAAACAGGAAGAGGGCCAGTTTTGTCCACAGTGGTAGTTTACTAACCCCTCATCCATTGGATAACCATGAATGCTAACCAGAAATAGGATCTGCATTCCAAATAAAAATTCATTTTGTACCTATACTTTTATGTCTTTGATAAACTTTCATTCTATGTGCTCTCAGAAGTTTGTCTGAAAAAGAAGTGGGGCTTTTAGTGAACTGTAAGCTCAATGTGAGTCAATAATGTCATGTGGTCAAAAATCTAATGCAATCTTGGCTTCCTTAAGAGAAGCAGAATAAGGAGGGTGTAGCTATTGGATAATATCTCCAGAACTAGAAAGGACCTCAGACCCCATCTAGTCCAATACCCTCCTTTTGCAGATGAGGAAGGCAAGCTAGGTGGCACAGTGGATAGAGTACTGGACCTGGAATCAGGTAAACTTGAGTTCAAATCCTGCCTTAGACACTGGTGACCCCAGACAAGTCATAACTTCTGGCGGTCTCCATTTCTTTGTTTGTAAAATGGGGATGATAGCACCTACCTCTCAGGGTTATTGTGAAGATGAAATGAAATAATATTTGGAAAGCACTTTGTAAACCTTAATGTATTCTATAAATTCGAGCTATTATTAAGGCCAGGGAAGTTAAGGGACTTGCCTATAGGTTGGTCACACAGTAAGCATTACAGGTAGGATTTGAACCCAGGGCCCCTGACTACAGAGCCACTTTTTTTCCCATGCTGTACTACCTAGCTAGCTTGCAGAGTCCTGCTGTAATGGGCCACTTCTGCAATATTGTATTCCATTCTGGGCACCACAACTTAAGTTCATTGATTAGATGGATAGTATCCAGAGGAGAGCTACCAGGACAGTGAAGGGCCTTGAGTCAATGTCATCAGAAGACAGGTTAAAGGCACTGAAGATGTTTAGCCTGGTGAAGAGAAAACCTAAAGGGGACATATTATATTCATATATTGCAAGAGCTATGACATAGAAGAGGGGATTTAAGCTTGTTCTGTTTGGCCCCAGAAGGCCAAGGCAGGAGAAATAGATGGAAGTTGCAGAGAAGGAAGTTTGGATTGAATGCCAGGGAAAACTTCTTTACGAATGTTGCCGTTCAGTTGTTTTTCCGCCATGTCTGACTCTTCATGACCCTGTTTGGGGTTTTCTTGGCAGAGATACTGTTGTGGTTTGCTATTTCCTTCTTCAGCTCATTTTACAGATGAGGAACTGAAGGACAAACAGATTGAGTGACCAGCCCAGGGTCACACAGCTAGTAAGTGTCTAAGGCCAGATTTAAATTCCAGAGGAGTCTTCCTGACTCCAGGCCTGGTTCTCTGTCCACTGAATCACCTAGCTGCCCTTTACAATGAGAAGTGTCAAAAATGGACATAGCCTGCCTAAGGAAGTGGGGAGTCTCCCCTCCCCTACAAGCAGGGGCTGGGTGACCACTTGCCTGCTGCATTATTCCTTTCAGATGCCTTGCAGGTATGGGCTAGACTCTGAGGTCCTTTACATTTCTAAAATTTTCATATGAATCTGTGTGTGACACAAACCCCTCTTTGAGTGTGTGTCCCTGGTTAGGATTTTATTATCAACGGATGATGTTTTTGCTAGCGTTGAATAGTTGAGCTATTGTTGTCGTTAGCTGCTCATGTTTTAAAGGAAAATTCTCATTGAATTTCAAGAACTCTTCTTGACGACCCAGACGTCACCCGTTAAAATTCTATATCTCCCATGCTATGAAGTGTACCTCCTCAGATGCAGTTAAAGGCAGCAGATATATGCATATATGGACTTTAATGTCCTCCCTCCCCTTTTTTTCCTCAAGGGGAAAGAAGAATAGCATACCCTACATTTACATGCTAATGAAACTTCTCATTGACACTTGTGTTTGCACTTTACAGGAAAGGTGGTCTTCGGGGAGCCGATAGCTGCTGGTCTTGGAACAGATGGGACTCACTATTGGCATGAAGAATGGCATCATGCTGCCCACCATGTCATGGGACCCCCGCTAAGACCAGATCCTTCAACTCCTGATTTCCTTATGAATCTACTGGCTAAGTAATCATTCATCAGAGGTCATGAACACTGTGCCCATGTAAAGTGGTGTAGTGGAGACAGCAAGATGGAGTAGGGAAGATTTGGAGTCAGAAGGACTGAGTTCACATTCTACCCTTGCTATTCTATTAATTACCTTGCTGACCTTGGCCAAATCCCTTAACCTCTCTGAATCTCAATTTCCTCAGCAACAAAAGGAGGAGATTGGACTACAATCTCCAATGCTCCTTCCAGCTCTAAATCCTACGATCATATTCAATTCAATTCCATAAGTATTCAAGTACCTACTATATGCTACAATGAAAAATTAAACATTCTTCTTCATAGAGCTTACATTCTACAAGATCATAAAAGGCAGATAGATGGTACAGTGGATAGAGCACTGGCCCTGGAGCTAGGAACAGCTGAGTTAAAATCTGACCTTAGACACTTATTAGCTGTGTGATCCTGGGCAAGTCGCTTTGCCTCTCTCTGCCTCGGTTTCCTCAATAGTAAAATGAGAATAAATAATAGCACTTACCTCCCAGGGTGGTTGTGAGAATCAAATGAGATAATATTTGTAAAGTGTTTAGGACAGTAATTGGCATAGAATAATATTTAATAAAATGTTTATTCCCTTACCTTATATAAGTTCTATACAGATTCTTGGCTGGTCCACCAGATGCGGGTTGGAAGGTGTCTTATGTTTTCCAACTGCAATAGTTCAGACTCTTTTACTTCTCTCCCTTGAATCTCCCAGGTTACATCTGTTTTACCTGCCCTTACGGTGTTTGGAAAATCAGTTTGGCTAGGGAAGACCTCCTATTAGAATTCTCAAACTGATGTGTTCACACCCCCTCTGAATTAGAAGAAATCAGAGGATCTATTAATGACTTACCCCTTTTTAATTTTGTTTCCATATCCCTTTTAAAATATATTTTATCCCCTAAGCAGAGGTTTTTAACCTGAGGTCCAAAGATCCCTTTCAGGGGGTTTGTGAACTTGGCTGGGAAAAAAAATTATCTTTATTTTTGCTAAATCTTTGATAATTAGCATTTCCTTCAATTATTTAAAAACATTATCCCAAGAAGGATTTTTTAGATTTTACTGGACAATCAAAAGGGACCATGATACATACATAATAGATGAAGAACCCCTCGGCTAAAAGCTCTTTGTGGTATTTTATTGTCAAAATAGGTTTGAATTTTTCATTTCTAATAATGCTAATCCCTTATGTTTAACTAGATCTTTATAGTTTTCCAAGAGCTTTTGCACAGATTTTTTTCAATTCATTCTTAACCACAGTCTATCAGCCAATCAATTAGTATTTATTAAGAGCTTACTATGTGCTAGGCACCATACTAGACACTGGGGATATATGCAGAAATAATAAACAATCCCTATTCAAAAGAAGCCTCCATTCCAGTGGAAGAGACAACAAAAAAGGGAAGAGTAAAGAAAACAGGCATTTGTTAGATGCCTCCTATGCACCAGCCTAAGCATTTTACAAATATTATCTAGCCTGATCAACAAGAATACATCTAAGTATATACAGAATAAATACAAAGAGAACTAATACAGGTATATGCAAAGACTTTAGATACAAGGTAGTTTTGTAGGGAGAGTGCTGGCAGTTGGGGGGAATCCAGAAAGTCTACATACAGAAGATAATGCTTGAGCATGATTCTTTTTTTTTCTTTTTCATGAGGCAATTGGGGTTAAGTGACTTGCCCAGGGTCATACAGCTAGTAAATGTCAAGTGTCTGAGGCTGTATTTGAACTCAGGTCCTCCTGAATCCAAGGCCAGAGCTCTATCCACTGCGCCCCTAGCTATCCCTTTGAGCATTATTCTTAAAGGAAGAAAGAGACTCACCGAATTTGAGAACTGGAAGGCACTGATCCCATAAAGTTGACAAAACTGATATTACTATGCCCAGTTTCCACACGAAGAAGCTAAGGTGGAGAGAGTTTATATGTGTTTCCAAGGTGAGGCAAAAGTGCAGAGACTCTAATTCTAAGCCCAGTCTTCTTTCTATTGCATCACGCTTTCCCCAACAGGACTTTCTAAAATGGTGACATGCAAAAGGAAAAGACAAAATTCAGAACTAAAAGATGGCTAGCTACGTTCTTGGTTAAGCCAAGCATTCCCAGTTTGCTTATTGTCAAAATAGATCAGGAGGAGGGAAGCGCCATTGGGACACATCCCTTGAAAGACCTACTTTCTATGCCTTCTCATTCCCGTGTCTCTTTACAGTGATGATCTCACCACCACTGGGTCAGATAACTGCACTTTCAGCACCTGCCAGAAAGCCCTCGGGAGGGATGATTTTACCAAGATCCCTAATGGGATCAATGGAGTTGAGGATCGAATGTCAGTCGTATGGGAAAAGGGTGTGGTAAGTTTCATGAGATCATACCCAGGCATCCCCTCTTCTGTAGTCCTGAGCCTGTAACTCAGAGACCAGGGAGGAGTAAGCCTTCCCAGAAAAGTCCTCTCCTAGCTTCTACAGGGGTATGAAAATTAGCTCCCTCTATTATAGGGAAAGCCAGGGCACAGCTTTCTCTTTTGCACAGCTTGGGGACTCTAGTGCTTCATCACGCAGAGCTGTTAGAAGTTAATTAAGCTAATTATAGAACAGATGATGCTAAGTATATTCAAAGTCTTTGAGGTTAGAGGGCCTTTCAGCCTTGGTTTTCAGAAGCTTGAAATGACAAAACAAGACTTAAATGAGACATATTCTTCACAATAACACTCTTTCAGGAAATCCACAGTGCTGGCCTGTGGGATTCATGGATTCTGTGACTTGCAGTTTAAAAATTATTGTTTACAGACACATATAAATGATAAAACCAACCTAAGAGCACAAGCCTATAATGTCTCAGTCCAGAGATTTAAAACCAACCAAAACCATTCACAAAGGATTCAAACTCAGGTCTTTCTGATTCCAAGTCCAGCTATCTGTGTATTCCATCTGAAATGGGAACAATTTAAGCTATGTCCACCTAAGTGTACTCTGCACACAATGAGAAGTTTTCCACTTTGGAAAAATTATAATGGGGGGAGGGGATGGACATGTTTTTCTAATAAGTTGGACTATCTATGGCCATTAGCCAAGGAGGAAGATAGATGGTGAAGTGGCTAGAACACTGGGCTTAGAATCAGGAAGATCCCAAATTCAAATCTAGGCTCAGACGCTTACTACCTGTGTGACCTTAGGCAAGTCACTTAACCTCTCTTTGCCTCAGTTTCCTCAGCTGTAAAACAGGGATAATAATTGCACCTACCCCAGAGGGTTGTTGTGGTGATCAAATGAAATATTTGTAAAGTATAGTGCCTGGCACGTAACAAGCACTTAATAAATGCTATTTCCTCCTTCAAAATCCCTTCAGCTCTTGACCATAAGAGCAACTTATAAATGTTCTCTCTTCCTCCTTCACTGACCTCCTTTAATTTTGTAAGGATTGCTACCTTTTTCTTTGCTTTTGTCATGACATCACCCTTTTTCATCATCACCAACTTTAATTATGGGGCATAATTCCTATTTATAGATGATTTTTCATTGACACCAGTTTAGTCTGGCAGCCCCTTGATAACACCCAGAGGATGACCTCATTCCCAGCAGGACCATTCCCCTAGGTCACCTTGCAGCATGAATGATGTCTGAGGTCTCTAATAGGCAAGGAAGCCTAACTGTGGTTTATGGCTTTTTTAAGAACTTCTCTTACAGAGGATGACACATCTCTATCTCAGCCTCTTTTTCTGCTCTTTTCCACAGATTGATGAATTGTCCCTCTTACTCTGGGGACTTGTAGCCATCTGAACCCTGATTGTACTTTGACCTGATAGGTATTGGGCTTGTGAGGAAAAAGCTGGGCCTTCCTGAAACATGAGTCAGGGAGAAATAATATATTTTTTTTAATCAGAGGAAAGAGGATTTCAGCCATCCTCATTCATTGAATTACAAGGAAATGATCACTTTAATAAAATGCAAAATATTGCCAGACAGGGACTACGGATGTTATTACTCATGCTTAGCTGACTACAGATGCAGCTTCACTATGATTTTGGCAAATGTGGGAGACAGTGAGATTATTTTTTTCCCAAGGTGATACTCCTTATTTGCCGAAGACACGAGATTCATCAACATGGGCACTCATCAAACCATCTTGGATCCCAACCCTTCTGATGCTGTAGCAGACTTTCAAATGCCATAGCAGACAGGGTTGTTGTAATTGTTATTGTTGTTCTGGGTTTTTTTTCCCCATGGTCAAAACATGCATCAATCAACAATTAATCTGATGAATGTGCCTCTCAGGGCTTAGCCTGGCTGGTTGATTCTCAAATTCCAGGGGTGAAGTTTGTTTCTGGGACCAGGTGTGAAACTTTTCCAACTTGATACTGGAGTGGCTTGTCATTTCCTTCTCCAGCCCATGTTACAGATGAAGAACTGAGGCAAACAGGGTTAAGTGACTTATCTAGTGTCACACAACTAGTCAGCATCTGAGGTCAGATTTGAACTCAAGAAGAGTTGTATAGGCAGAATTGGCAAGAACTTAGAGTAGCATCCATGACACAAGGAATACCCAGAGGAGGACTTACCTGGAGAGAAGACCTGGACATTGACTCAGAAAGCTCAAGACCTTTGAATTTTGCACATGGTTGTACCTAGGGTAGCATTCATGATGTAGCAGAAATCAAACTAGATTTTGAGCCCAGAAGACCTGAGTTCAAGGTCCATTGCCTATGTGCAGATTCTTTGCATCCCAGTTTCCTCGCCTGTAAAATGAAAAGGTTGGATTAAATAATCTCTAAGGTTAAAAAAAAAAGATTGATTCCTAAGGTGGTTGTTGTATTCCATTATCTGGATCATGTTGTAGTCGTTCGAGACCAATAAATAGCCTAAAATAGGCTGAGATTACAGCATAAAATATTCATTACAATATTAGATGACTAAGTGGTGCAATGGATAGAACACTAGACATATAATCAGAAAGATTTGAGTTTGAATCCTACCTCAGACACTTAATAACTATGCGACCCTAGACAAGTCAATTAGTCTCTTCCAGTCTCAGTTTCCTCACCTGTAAAATGGGGATAATAATAGTACCTGTCCTCATAGGGTTGTTATGAGAATCCAGTGAGATAACATATGTCAAGTGCTTTGCAAACCTTAAGGGTAGTCATATGAATACTCTCAAATCCTCATATTTTTGTTAATAGGAGACTGTCATTGTATTTCTTCATTGGAATGATATTTTTTCTTTTTGAATTATGTTATAGCATAATGGCAAAATGGATGAAAACCGATTTGTTGCTGTCACCAGCACGAATGCCGCTAAAATCTTTAATCTTTACCCAAAGAAAGGAATAATTGCTGTCGGATCTGATGCTGACATTGTTATTTTGGACCCAAATGCAACAAGGTGAGGTACAAGGCCGCCTGTGTCTGGGCTTTATGGGGGACTGTATGCCTGGCACAAGGTTAAGCATCGTGGAGACAAAGGCAAAACCAGCTCCCGTCCTCAAGGACCCTAAATTCTACTGTGGGGATTCAATGTGTTCACAAATAAGTCATTCAGAACACGTACAAAGTAAATACAAAGCGACTGAGGGGAAGAGGGAAGGTGGCCCTAAATTGTAGTTGTTATTTGTCCTTCTTTCTCGAAGGGGACCATGACATCATGGATATGACGCCATGACATTCAAGTGAATTGGTTTTAAGTGGGGGAGGGCTGTGCAAGGTCACCAGCCTCACTTCCTCCTCCAGAGCCATCTGGATCCAGTGGCCAGATATAGATCAGGATGACTGGAGATAGCCCCCAGTGGACCTAAATAGAAAAATCGAGAAAGAACTCTAGAAGGAGACAGCACTTGATCTGAACCACTAAGGGCTCTTGAGGTTCAAAGAGTAAAGAAGTAGTGAGGAGCACGTCAGGCTTGCAGGACAGATTGTACAAAGGTGGGAAGTGGGAGATGGCATGCCCTGATCATCCTGCAAATTTGTAAAGTAATTAGATTGTATGGGGCTGTCTCCCATCAAGTGACATGCGTAGAGATTCTCAGACACTTCTGAAATCTTACATTAAAAGAAATACATGTAAAAAACTTAGACAAGTTCATTTGTATGTTATTGACTAAAACAGATATTCCGGGCAATTTCTCAGAAATTTATTGTATATGAATATACTGTTTGTGATTTAACCAAAGACCTAGAGTGCAAATAATAGAAATGTAGAGAGTTAAGAGAAATAATAAAAATCTAGGGCTCATAAGATCCTAGATTAGAGTTGGAAGTGACCTTGTAGACCATCAAATCCAAACTTCTTGGGGGGGGGTTGGGTTTTTTTGGGGGGAGGCAGATGAGGAACTGAGGCCTAGAAATCTTAAATGATTTGAATGACTTGCCTAAGGCCACACAGGTAGTATGTAATATAGCCAGGTCCTGTAATTCTAGTGGTGGTTTCCTCTTTTGCCTTTAAAAAAAAAAAACTAAAGGGGAAACTGGAAACTTGGAATAATTATATCCATTTTTCTACTTTAGGAAGTAGAAAATAAAATGGCACAATAGAAATCATATTCCATTTGCTTCTAATAGGGGACCAAATTCACCACTTGGCATCATCTTCAACCCAGAATTCCCTGTGCACATCAGCTTTTCTTTTCTAATTTCCATTGTTCTGTAGTAATATTGGAGGTCCGCTAACAGAGAAAACCATAGAATAGGGACTGCAGCTTTGTTAATTTACCTTATTATTAAGCTTTTAACAGATGGGACAACCATAGTGAGCCTCACATTTTTCATGTGTTTTAATGTCCTGTGATTGCTAGAAAGAAAGTTAGAAATGTTTCAACAAGTTTTGTATAAATAAGTATGAGACCTAACAATGGTAGGCTCTGCCATCATTCAGTAAATTACTATGTAATTGGGCAAGTCAATTGACCTCTGTGGCCCTCAGTTTCCTCATCTATAAATTAGGGTAGTGGATTGGATGGCCTCTGAGGTTACTTTCCATTCTAGATCTATAATAGGCACTATGAGATAGGACAAAGAAATAGAAGGCAAGCTCCCTGTCCTCCAACGAGCTTGATGTTGAATTCCCATTGATAGAATACAGCATTGGGACCCACTTTATATAGTTGATTGAGGGGTCAGAGCGGTGACATCATCATTTGTCCACTGGTCAGCTAATAGAGTAGGTCCATGTTTGCCTGAAGATAAGACATAGTCACTGAGGAGAAACAGTACAAAACATTCTCCTTTGATTTACCTCTTTAGGCCTACTATGAATAAAGACCAAAACATAGCTAAGTGGGAAGACCATCCAATTTGGGAATAGAAAATTTGGACTTGAATTCTGACTCTGCTGCTTATTAACTATGTAACTCTACATAAATCTGATCACTTGCCCTCTCTGGGCCTCAGTTGTTGTTTATTTTTTCATGCCACAAAGTTTGGACTAGATCAGTGGTTTTCAGAGTCTCAGAGTACCATCAAATTCTTAAATATTATTGAGGACCCTCTAAGGAGCTTTTATTTATGTGAGTTATAACTATTGATAATTACTATATTAGAAATTAACATATCTTGGTATTGTTAGAAAAATAATTTTGATCACATAAACCCCCTGGAAGGGTCTTGAAGACCCTTAGGGGGCCCTGGATCACATTCTGACAACTGTTGGGCTGGAATTGATGACCATAGAGGTCACTCTCAGCTCCACATGTGATTTCCCAAATCTGGCAACAAATGGTAGTTGATGGGCCACAGGAGTAGCATGATGCTACTTCTAGCCCTAAAAAAAAAAAACCCAAAACACCTTAGACTACTTCTTATTGCCAATTCTATGATTCATGGTATGGAATATACAAAGTATAAATGGTTCATTCATTAAAAAAAAAGTCTACAGGTGCTAATTGGGCAACATTTAGTTCTCCAGTTATTTTCTTTTTTTAACAGTTATTTTCTTAATGATCAATAATCAATTTCTCAATAATCAATAATAACCAAATGAGAGGGTTGGGCATCAGTCATAGAAGACATAGGTAATCTCTATGGTGCCTTGCAAATTTGAGAGCTAGGATCATCGAGGTGGCATGGTGGATAGAGTGCTGGACCTGGAGTAAAGAAGACCTGAAATCAGATCTAACTCTGTGACTCTGGGAAAGTCACTTGGCCTCAGTTCCTTATCTGTAAAATGGAGATAATACTAACCCCTATATCCAAAGGTTCTTGTGAAGATTAAAAAGATGAGATAATATTTGTAAAGCACTTTGTAAACCTTAAAGTGCTAAAGAAATAGTACCTATTAGTATTATTATAAACTATTAATGACAGTTAATATTATTATAGAACAACTCCCAATAATGTGTAAGCTCTTCGAGGACAAGGGCTACTTCATTTTTGACTTTGTGTCACATTTACATGCGGTGTATGTTTAAGGCTTCACATCTCATAGTAGAAGGCATAGGTACCCCAAAGGAACCACCATGCGGTCCTATTAGATTAATCTCTTTTTTTTAAGGGGAAGGGGGGAGAAGAAATACATTTCCCCAACTCAGTATTTTAGCTCTTCAGCCCCAGTGGGTTCAATTCCATTTATACAAATGAGACTCATAATAATGGCACTTTTAGATCTTAATTTAGCAAAAATAAATAATAATACCATCTTAAGTACTCATGTATTAAAGTAAATGTAGGAATAATAAATATGTTACAAATCATACATAAGCCTAGATCACACTCTTCTACCAATGCACCCAGTATCCATGGGGGAAGAGTGGGTACACAGAAATCTGCCACGAAAGTACATGGGGGAGGAAAGCCCATGCCTGCAGGGTAATCCCTAACTCTGCACTGCCAGCTTGGGTGTTACTGGTCTTACATACAGGAACATCTACATCCTACAAAACCACTTCTTTGTTAACTTCTGGTCTGCTGATCTTTAGTGCTCTCCAGCTGGGCAAATCCTGTTCCATTCTGGACCTGATGTAGCAGTTGCAAGAGCTCTTTCAACTTACAAATTACCCTTAAAAGGGTGTTGGAAAGGTGCTACAGTATTTAATTGGAAAATGTTCCCTTTAAACCAAAGAACTACAAATATCCCAAGGCTATCTATCTCTGGACTATATAGATAAGAACAAGCCAGCTTATGAAATGGGGATAATAATAGCCTATGGAACAACTAGATGGACACAGTGGATAAAGTGCCAGGCCTGGAGTCAGGAAGACTTGTCTTCTTGAGTTCAAATCCAGCCTCAGACACTTATTAGCTGTGTGACCCTAGGCAAGTCATTTAATCCTGTTTGCCTCAGTTTCCTCATCTGTAAAAGAAGGAAATGGCAAACCAAACCACTCCAGTATCTTTGTCAAGAAAACCCCAAATGGGGTCACAAAGAGTCAGACACAACTGAATAACAATGACAACCATAGCCCCTACCTCCTGGGGTTGCTGTGATGATTTTTAAAATTGGGATAATATTTGTAAAGTATCCACTCATCAGGATATCGTGTCATCCAATCAGATTGGAACAAATAGAACAGCTCAGGTTTGACTCTCTCATCAGTGCTCCTAGTCAGTTTGTCACCTACCACAATCTTCATAGTCCAGTTACAGCTCAGCATTTCCTCCCATGCAAGAAAACAACTACAAAGCTTGCATTTCCTCATCCTCCCCCCTGTTTTTTCTTCTCAAACAAGAGAAGGCAGCAAGGACAGCTGAAGCTTCTGAAAAGCTTCATCTCCCCTGTTGAAGGGCACCAAAGGACAGTAGCCAGAATGAAAACTCTTTTCCAAACCAGCTCCACTCTTGAGTCAACTAAGAAACTAGAAGCCAACACTTTCTTGTCAGCTGAATATTCCTATTGCTGATTTCTTCAAACAGCTGTGATGGGGGTGCTTTCCCACCCCCTCTGAGTCTTTCCTCTCCTACTCAGTTCTTCAATTGTCTTCCCCACACACTTTCAGTGCCTTAAATCAGAGCATCCTGGTAGTCAAAATTCATCTTTCCCTTATGAGGTTAAAAACTCAGCAAATCTCCACCATGAAATCAAATTCTTATTTAATCATCCCTTAGTCTCCAAACAGATATGTGACTTTTTCATCTTATGAATTTTATCCTCTTAAGTCTTAAAACAATTACATGCAAATGAGCTGAGGGACTACAATGCTCTACATCTCCAACCACTAATCAGTTTTCAAAACAATCCTCCGAGTCTATATTACAAACTCTTTCTTCATATTCACATTTTATCAGTTTTTAAGAAATATAAGTTCTTTCTCTGCCCCTTTTAGCCTATCAATAATTCATATGCAAACCAGGCATCACCCTACATCCTTTACAAAGTTATTTAAGCCTTTATATTTATACCACAATAAACTTCTAAAATCTTAGCTGAAGAGTGGGTTTCTTTACATACATATTTT